CCAAAGTCATTTTTATACATTTACAATAGAAAATTTACAAAAAAAAAAAAAAAAAAAAAAAAAAATATATATATATATATATATATATATATATATATATATCTTCATGGAAAACTATCTGTATTTAGTATATTGAGGATTTTGCACATTGAAAAAAATGGATAATTATTTACCTTCCCAAAAATATACTCAAAAAATAAACTGGTTTGTGGTCTAGGGTGTTACATATATTGGACAAACAAATGCATAGACTTTTAGTAGAATAGAAGTAACCATGTTTTATTTTTTTTCTACAAACACCACAGTTAAATTATGGTATATGTGGCAAGATTTTTAGTTTACTAGGTCTATAAAAACAGTAGCCTCAGTGTGACTAAAACCTAGTAAAATCCGATCATTTAAAGCAGAACTTTCTCTCAGCCGCATGCCTCTTATAAATGATTGGACTGGAGAGAATGGAGAGAGAGGATTCTCTAGATATTGTGCGGTACTGCTGTAAAGATTGTGCTGTGTGCTGTGCTTTCATTGTTTCCCTCTACATGTTTCTATCAGCACTGTTCCAGAAATCAGACATTGTTGGCCAGTCACTTTCTTTCATTATTGTTCCCCCAGTGGCCTCCAGCGACTGAGAGCAGTGGGACTTCTGTGTGAACATGCACTGACTGTCCTCAACCTCATACACCTGCATGTACCTTTCATTTACCAGTGTGGGATATGGGAGAGTTCCAGATGACGCCAAATGAATTGTAAAATTTCTCAATATTTTGTTAACAGGCACATTTAAAAGTGACCAAAGAAATGCTTCAAACAAAATTCCAGTATCCTTATTTTTTCCAAAAGACATAACAACCAAGACATTTGCCTAGCTGTCATGAAAGCCAAAGCAGAAAGTCTGGGGTCAACTATACTAAAATACAATTAACTGACTTCACTTAAGTCAGCTTAACATTCATTCAATTCCTTTGGCTTAATCCCTTATTTGCCCTTCTAGCCACAACCCACTAACAGAAAACATCCATACACTCTCATATTCACACAACACCACATACACAACAGCCAATTAAGTTATTTAAATTCTTGAGCACCTGCAGGAAACCCACGCAAACACAGGAACATGCAAACTCCACACAAAAATGCCAACTGGTCCAACCTTCTTGCTGTGAGGCAGTGTAAATCACTGAGCCAGCATGCCACCCATCAGTTTAACAGTTCCAAGTTAAAGCTAGTTTAATAAATAAATTCCAAGTTAAAGTGTTCTTTAGCTTGCAGAACTATTTATGTTTATTTATAATAAAAATAAAAATGTTTTATATATGTATTAGTTGATGTAAATCATCCATCTCAATATACAAGTTAACACAATTTTAAAATAATAACATTTTATGTGTTTTGGCCATTCATTTACATGACTTGTATTTTGGGGCCTGAAAAGGTAAACAGAAACGGGTTTGAAAACAGGTCTCAAAGGGCACATTTTTAAAAATGGTCATTTTCAGCTTTCTCTAAAAATTCAATAAGCAGACATGTTGAGTTTATTTAACATCAGTTACTGGTCAGGCATGCATATGGCACTTTAAAAGGCGTTTCAGATCATTAAGAACAAGATTTGATTCATTAACAAGGTTGTCTGTTACTTTATCACCATCATCATGTAAGTGCATCTCTATTCAACTATAGGATGTACTAAAAAACTGGAGTGCTTCCAGATGAAAAATACAGCTTAAAAAAAAAAAAAAAAAAAAAAAAAGTGACATCTTAAATTGCATATTAATTCTGGGGATATATATATATATATATATATATATATATATATATATATATATATATATATATATATATATATATATATATATATAATTTTTTTTTTTTTTTTTAATATATATATATATATATATCCCCAGAATTAATATGCAATTTAAGATGTCACTTTTTTTTTTTTTTTTAAATTGTCAAGAATAAAAAGTTCAGAGAAAAAAAAAAAATCCAGACATGTAGAAGAGCATATGAGTAGCACATTTAAATTATTTTTTTACATGATTAATTCATATTAAAATTACAAATCTAACACACAAGCAAAAAGGTGAGCAAAGGTTTAGCCCAGTGTGACTGATATAGATGAGGACTATCTATATCAGGCCCAGTGAGCAGAGACTGCTGATTCATACTTGTGCTTTTAAGGGCAGTGGAGCAGCGCAGCAGAGATGAACACCACAGGGGCCAGAGAACCCTTGAGAATAAACACCTCGCTGAACACTGATCATTTCAACACTTCAAACCATCAGTCTCCACCATTACCAGAAAACACTGCAATAAAGCATCAGTCTGTCTCAAAGATCAAAGCTACAGAACAGCAGTTTTAGTATAGTGAAAGAAGACGCTTCAGAAGAAAAATGTATAGAAAATAACTTATTTTATTTCAAAGAAAACAGCATGGAAAAGAATGGGCTTTCAATACTTTATTTTTCCCCTTGATACACATTTTCCTTATTTCTCAATTCCATCCAAAGGAAAATTATAGTGAGGTAAAAGTGCTGAGAAACAAAATGGTATAAATGAATCGACATCATAGATCACCACGCCGGCAGTAAGCCGACATAAGGATTTCAAAACAATAGTGCGACTTATTCCATTTGTCTTTTTTTTTTAAACTCACAATCATTAGCATCCTCACAGACAAACAAGACAATAATCACAAAAAATAAACAATCTGCTGAAATCCACAACTCTTCTTGCAACGTTGCTAAAGGGCTTCAAAAAGGCCTCAATCATCATTAAGACTTGCACTTTAGACAAGCATGTTCAAATCCAATAAACATTCCACACACACGCACACACAGAGAAAGGGAACTAGGTTACAAAAGCTCCAACACATTTGTGTTCTCAAAGGCTAACACACAGGAATCTGGAATTACAGCTGACATTGGGGACATAAAAATTAATAAAAAAGGGGGACAAAAGAAAATAGAGAACACTCAAAGCATGCTTTCCTATTTTCAAACACTCCCTTTCCAAGAAACATACTTCACACGGACTTCAAACAGGAAATCAGCCAAGCCTCATCACACCAGGCCTTATCTATAGTAAGCGCATCTGGACAAGATTAATAATAAAAATAGTCAGGTTTATTTGTTCAATTAGAAAATACTATCAAATCAAAAAAAGAAAGGGGCAAACTAAAATAAAAAATATTTAATGCATTTTACACTTCATGAAGTTTGTAAAACAAATGCTGCGACACTGTAGCCCTTCATGTCCCTGAGACACACACATCTTTACAGTTTTTGTGCTCACGGGGCTTTGGAGTATCACAAGGCCTGTAAAGTGCATTCATTGTTATGGGCATCTCAACAATTTAGCCTTTTGAAAAAAATACAGTGCACAGGAATTGCTTTGATTAGGAGGGTGACGTAGAGAGGACGTGAAAAATGACAACAGCTGGAATGACTGGAAAACTACACAAGGGGGAGGAAAAATAAATAAATAAATTTTTCAGATCCAATTAGTCACCCTTGTTAAATGGACTGTAGAAAGCTAATGGTGCCAAGTGTTCTGAAATCAGACCGGATTGAGCAAGTCTTTGTATCGTTTCATGAATTTGAAGCAAAGCTCAAATAGATGACCACAAAAAAAAAAGGCACATGAGCTCAAACATTGGTCCAGCAAGACAAGTATGGGAAGCCAAGAGGAAGAGGGAAAAAATAAAAAAACTAACCTAAACTGACATAGGAGTAAAAATCCATTCCGGCTTAGTGCGCTTTAGGGTGTGAACCAGTAAGAGGGAGGCTGTGTGACCCTAGAAGTCTGTGAGGGCAGATAACAGAAGGAACGTGGCTCTCATGGTTATCTGGTGCATATAGGCTTGTAGAAGCTGAAGCAGCAGGAGCTGTAGCGCGTGAGCAGAGGAAACCTGAGGGGCAGGGGGGCAGCTGTCGGCCATTACGTAAGAGTAATAGACTTCTCTGAATGGGCCGATGTTGAAAGAGGAACTACCGTGCATTAAGGGGAAAGGGTGGGTGGGGGTGTATCAGAAAAGACAGACAAGAATAGGCATTCACATAAATTAATACTGTCTTATGCACAAAATAACCCAGCTAACAAATGCGCTGTTCCTCGAAGCCTTCACATCAAATTCACAGACAAAAGGACCAAGACAGGAGACACTAAAACCCAATCAAGAAGAACAGCAAATCCAGCAACATCGATTAGATCCAAAACTGGAATGGAATCCACTCAGGCATGCTTTTACGTACATTTGAATGAGCACGGGTATGTCTGTAACTCCAACCAGACCTCAATTACCAGAAAAGGCTGCGTGACATACCATCGTTCACTTCTCATGTACAGTGACGCTAGTCAGGAGCACAGGACAGACAGTCGGCTCACTAGAAATTCCACCCCACATGCTGTCCATTCAAGGCACATCCCAAGAGCTACAGGAAGGGATAATTTTAGAGCGTTGTGACACCATTTGGCTTGGCTATGCTGTTAGCTGGAGGTCTCGTTACATACGGCAGTGCTAAGTCTGCTAATGGCCGCAAAAAGCTCAGGAGGACAGATCGTCCAACAGGTGATCCTTGTATGGACAAGCATGATCTCTTCCAACATGAACACTATGTTAATGAGGAGAGGAAAGTTTACCAGTAGACCCACGCAATCTGGATCATTAAATGGACTTGTTACTGCTCCCTCTGCATTATGGGGGGAAAAAAGGAACAATCTTTTTCGTACACGCTGCAGCCGATTTTGATTTCAGTCTCTTCACTAATGTAACTTCCAAGACTGAACATCCTGACAAATTGCACAATTTCTCCAAAACGCATCCACACAGCAAACTGAAGCACATAGTTTTGAATACTTCAACATGATTCAGCTCACATTTCTATTAATGGAAACGAAAACTTTAGCTGCCCACCAGTGTACCAAAAAAACAAATAAAAGCTCCTGATAACTCGAGTCCTAGAATACCAATTTCACCTGTGCTCACATTTTTCATCTTTTTCTTTCTAATTTTTTTTTTGTATTTTTTTTCTCCAAATTTCTAAGAACATTATTATATTTTTTTGGCATTTATATTTTGTAACACACAGGAAATATATAAATTTGTCCCAATACGCTTTACTTTTGGGGTTAGAATCTAATAAGGCACTATGGGAATTGTTTCTCTTCAATATGGAAAATAAATCTCTCAGATAAGGGACAGATGAGAGCAACAAACAAATCTGAAACTTCTTATTAAAGTAAAAAAAGGGAAAAAAATTAATTCAAATCCCTAAAATATATCACTTTGAATTAGAAATGTCTTGGCACCTCTGCAGAGAAGGAATTAAAAAGAAAAGAAAAAAAGAAAAAAAAACTTTGATATTTTAAACATCCTTTATGTCTACAGAGGGAAACTTCCCTTATGGCCAATTATCTGGCGTTCTGACCAACTGATGGATTTAGTCTTCAAATAAGCATCCTTTGTGTCTTAGTTACACGGCAACCAAGTTGGAATGGACTGGTTACAAGAGGCCACATAGTAGTTGTTGAAGTTCAGGTCTTTGACATACGGAGCCGGCTGGTAGTAGCAGGTGACGCTGGACACATCAGGTATAGCGTTCTGCTCAGCGAGCACCCTGAACGCAGTCAGTGAGATGAGGTTCAGCGTCTGCCGTCTCTCGTGTCCCATGAGACACACAGTGCTCTCGTTCACCACCCGCCGCAGGATCATGAGGTAGTTGTACTTGTTCCTCTCCTCACCAATAAAGTGGCTTTGAAGATAAGCCTCCAGTTTGCGCTGTTGTTCAACAATGTCGGGAAAGTCAATGAAGAAACGGGAGCACATGTAGCGTTCCAGAGCCTTAAATTCATCTGGATCTGTAGGCTTGAATTCTCTCACCAGGAGGTTGCAGTATTTGAGTAAACCACCACCACGGATTTCCTCTGGGCGTTTGGTGGCAATGGTCTTATTCGTGAGGTGGCCCAGAGCCTCAACAAAGTCACCATACATGCTCTCCCCTACCACCGTAGGGTGGAAATGCTGAGACATGGGATTTTCTGACAAGTCATAGTAGGACAGAACAGAGTCCAAAATAATCTGGAAGGAGTCCACACTGAACTCAAACTGTCTCCGGATTGAGTCCACAAACTTTAGTTCTACATTGCGGCCATTGTTGTTGGACAGTGAGATGAGGGACCAGCGGTCCTGATCAGTGTAAACTTTGACCAGCTTCTGGACATAGGCCTCTTTCAGTGTCATCGGGGTGATCTTCTCCTTATTCACCCCCTCTGGTAGAAAGTCCAACAAAGTGCTCAGAACCACATCTTTGATGAGCTGGAACTCCTCTTCCCGAGGAAGGTCTACCCTGAAGATGACGTCCAGGTCTTTGTAGCTCCAACCAATGTCCTGAACCAGCACGTGGCTGGCTGTAGAGCCGTTCAGACGCACATCTTTGACCATAATGCCTCTCAGCTCCAGCCGATTTCTCACTATCTGTACAATATCCTTCAGCCGGACCTCGAGGGTGGGAAAGTTGCCACGTCCATGAACCGGCACGGCCTCTGTCAGCACATCGTTCAAGCGGCTCACTTGCTCCCAGGTAAGCACACTTTGTGACTCACTTTCATTGCTGGATGAGGTTGAGGCTGAGGCCATGTTTGCCATCTATGCAGTTTCCTGAGATAAAATACAAGGGCAAAAATTTCACTGAGTCCATTTTTTTTTTAAATAAAAGGGGAAAAAAAACTAAATCTTTGAAAAGATTTGCATTTTAATATTTAACTTGAATAACGAGCCTGAAATTAAAATTAAACACATGGTACATAAGGAACACATATAGACACACTGTCCAACAGGTTCCCTGCTCTCGTATAACAGAAAAGCTAACACTGATTCTCAGGCTTTCCAGAAGGCCAAACAAACTCCAAACATCAACTGAAGCATTTACGGGGTAACACTCAGCTGCTGCTCAATTAGTTTATCAAGTAAAACAAGCCCAAAATAGAAAAGCACAGAGATAAAAGAAATGCACAAAAGAAAAATGTAAATTCACATTAAATTAAGTTTTATAACTAAACAACAACAACAAAAAGTGTAAAAACATTCACAACAATTTTTAAAAAATGAGGCTGTCAACTATACAAATCAAATAATATTAAAGGAAAAGTTTGATACTAAACGGTCCGCTTTTAGTTCCCATTGAGAAATTCTCTATCATTTCAGGAATGTGTTAGAAAGTTAATTTATTCGCAATTGTTTTACATAATCATACAAAAAAGTATCATTTTGGACGCGTTCCAAATTTGGATAAAAACAACAAGACTTTAAGACACAAGACACCTCAGCATACATACTTGCAACACAAGTACATTCATTGGAAGTAATTAAAAACAGTCGCTCTATATTTTAAATACAATAAATCGATCTAATTTTAGTCGAACAAACGATTGAGGTAAAGTTATTTAACATTCGCTCGTTCGTTCGCTGACAGCTCCCTATATTGTTTATTTGCTGCTAATATGATTTTTAAAATGTATGATTAGCAGTACTTTTCTGAAATTGCATTATTAAGGAGAAAGTCCGAATGTGTGAATATTAAATTAACTTAACCTCAATGAACAACCGAACCATCGCAGCATGGCGAAGAAGAGAAAGAGCAGCGTTTGAAAAAGTGCACGTGAGGGGTCGAAAGAGTCTCAGTCAGCGTTCGGGACAAACACACCAAAAATTCTAACGTTAATGGATTTAATCGGAAAAACAAACTTTAAAGTTAACCTCGCGACTGCATCCAAACCACATAGACTCAACTCGCTTAAATCGAGAAAAACTCTTGAAATAAATGCAACCTACTGTTCTCGGGAAATCCACCTGAAGTGCTCAGCAACGTGGTTGGCACAAAGTAGTGGATGTCAAATAAGTTTTAGCAGCAGCACCTCCATCCATCTGTTCAGTCATCAAACGCCAGAGCTTCACTTCTGAAGACACACACGCGCTCTCTCTTATAACTGCCTACAAAATAACCTGACCATCCGCAACTCCACCGCGCACTATTTCCCCCCAAGCCTTGTCATATACACGTGGATCACACACAGCATTTTTGTTTTATTTGAATCATTAAATCTTAACTAATCTCTCTGCATTGCACTTACCTGAACTCCAACGTCAAGCGCCGTGATAGAAGACATTTATGAACTAAAGCTCCATGAGAAATTTAAAAACATACTATACTATTTGCTGGTATCAATGCGCCAGGAGAAGCTTGTGATTGGCTGAATAGGCTTTTATGTTGCCAGGCGACCACAGGCACATGTCGACCATCTGACGTCCAGATAGGTAATGATATCAGACAGAAATATCTTGGCTTGTCTTCTCAGCTTACAAAAACTTTTTGATTTTAAGACAATAAATTTATTGTTTTGGATTTGGGAGTCAGATTGTAAGGAAATGGACAATAGGTTAAAATGTACTCTTTGTGGCTTATTCCATCTTCACAAACGCAGTTATTCAGTGTTTGCCTAATTTTAGAACATTTTGTCTTGACTTGAAACTTTATTATGAATCTGTCTGCCCATCGCAAAATAAGAAAGCTGCTAAAACAACTGAGAAAAAAAAATAAATAAATTATATATATATATATATATATATATATATTTTTTTTTTTCCCTTAGCCCTTGTATCATTTGTTACTAGATATACAATGAATATGTTTAAATTGTTTTCAGGTCACTCAATATAAGCACAAATTAATGTTTTATGTATTCCCTGTTACTTATGTAACATTTTTTTCGTTTTTAAAAAAAAGTGACATCACACGTGACCTGAAAAAAGGTAATGAAATCAGTTATACAAATTTAATTACGTTAATTAAATGTTTTTATTATTATTATTAAATCTCTTTGTTTATTTTTACCCCTGGCAACTATATGCACTTTGATTGTATACTGTTATTAGACTTCCTTTATATATAGTTATGTTTCTGAAGACATACTTTATACGTAACTAGAATGTACAGGACATTCTACCAGAAACGTGCATTATCTGTCTCTAAAATAAAAACAAAAGTAGAGTTAAACAAATGTATTTCATCCCATACATTTCTAAAATGGGCTGATGGTTAATTTCTGTGAGTTGTTCTGTATAGGAATGTCATTCACTTGGTTCTCAGAATTTTTTTCTTTATTAAAAATACTTTGGCAATGCGGTGGCGCAGTAGATAGTGCTGTCGCCTCACAGCAAGAATGTCACTGGTTCGAGCCCCAGAGTTTGCATGTTCTCTTCATATTGGTGTGGGTTTCCTCTGGGTGCTCCCGTTTCCCACACAGTCCAAAGACATGCAGTATAGGTAAATTGGGTAAGCTAAATTGTCCGTAGTGTATGAGTGTGTATGGATGTTTCCCGGAGATGGGTTGCAGCTGAAAGGGCATCCACTGGGTAAAAAATATGCTGGAAAAGTTGGCGGTTAATTCCGCTGTGGTGACCCAAGATTAATAAATGGACTAAGCAGAAAAGGAGATGAGTGAATGAATAAAAATACTTTACAAATGTACAAACCCTGTCATTGTTCATGTCCTCAGCCCAATTGAACATACAGAACAGCTTAAATAGTTCTGTTATGCTAAAAGAAACTTTAGAAATAGCCAGTTTAAGTTGTTCTCATTCACATCAATTGATTTAAAATATGAAATTATAAAGAAATTCTATAAATAAATACTAACATATATAATTCAAATAAAATTACAATCGTCCCCATTTTACTGTCAGTCCTGTCACATTTGCATTAAATTTAACATAAAATGTGTGTAATACACCTTAAAGGCTATTACTCGGTGATAAGTGACATTAACTGAATAGCTGACAGTGACCTAGGATGCTTTCTATCATTGAATTGTATGATTTTATGCTTGTTTTGTGACAAGGACGACAAGCTTAAAGGTTAAGCCTTGTCACATTTTTTTATAAGTGAAAACGTACGTGTTTCGTATGTCACATACTTAATGTTTCATTTAGCCTTTTTATTTTATAATTTTTAAACTTTAGCTTCTTTATTTGTCAAATTTTACTATGGTTTAAATAACTATGTGTATATACTTTAAAATCAATTTAATCTTGAAATTCAAAGCTGAGTTTGTTCTATTGTGTTTTATTATTAAATAATATTGGTTCATACCAGCCCTGAATTTTTTTTGGCAAATATAAAGTAAAAATTAAGAAATAAATCATAAAGAATTTTTATGATTATTGTGGCTTCAATAAAAATATCCTGCAGCATAATTACTTCAATATATTAAATATAATCTACTGATTTTGTAATAAAAATTAAAATAATTTCTGATCACCAATGACTGAAGTAATGATGGTGAAATTTCAGCTTTCAATTACAGGAATAAATTGCAATACATTAGTTACATTTATACTGTATATTATGAACGTTATGTTCTAATAAATAAATGCAGCAGTGAGCAGTATGTGTTGTGTTGTGTTATGTTACAGTGCTCAGCAAATATAAGTACACCGCTCACAAATCTATTTTTTTAATTAATATTTTTAATAGGAAGCTACACAATATTATATTTGCGTGTATACATTAGATTAGTCAGTACTGAAGCCAAATCTGGAGCTTATCTAACAAAATAACTTACAATAACGATCCAAAAACTAGTACACTCAAATTTATATGTTGTAGAAAAATATTAAATAAAAATGTAAAAAAGAGGAAAAATCAAGAGAGCAAACAAATAAAAAAATTTTGTTGAGATTTTGTAGGTTGTAATTTTTTCCCAATATTTTGCTTGAATGTAACTGTATTATATATTATTTAAATATGTTTGGTGACTAAAACATTATTTTAATAAATATATCTGTTTAATAAATCTGTTTTGTTTAAATGCACCAACATACATTACCTATATACACTGAAAAATGGATCAAAATATTCATTTTCAAAATAGGGTGTACTCAATTATGCTGAGCACTGCATGTATATGTCAACTTAAACATTTATTACTGTAGGCCTAACTGAAACCCTACTTTCACACAGAACTTTTGATATCAGATCAGTTCAGTCATTAACAGTAACAACTTATGAATCTCCGAAGCAGTGAAAAGCTCTTCTAAAATCATCCTGACCATGTATTCACAATATTGTGAAAACATTTTTTAAAATGTGGTCTTCAAAACATATCCCCCACATTTACAAATGCCCTTTTGAAAACATCTTACATAACTTACAGAAAAAATCAATCTAATTAATATTTTTTTAAAAGCAAGCAATCATTGCACACACACGCACGCGCACGCACGCACGCTCACACACACACACACACACACATTTAGTGTATAGTAAGTGTATAGTTATCTTTATGTACTACCTATGGATATGATTTTTTATATTATATAAACTTATAAATTGTATATATTCACATTCACATTTTAGCACTTTATACTTAATTCTGTGTGATTTATGAGCTATTTAATCATTGGGACCAAAATAAAATAATGAAAAAAAAATCCCCACAAGCGTAAAATGTACGTTTGTTGCTATATTATAACACCAAACCAGGCTGAGGTGAGAGTCAGCGTTTGAGTTAGTAAAGCAAGAATGTAAGTGATAGCACTGGGGAAACTCTATAGAAAAGCAGGACATTCAACTTCTGGTGAAATGAACAGAGCTAGTGCAGCCTCCAGTGGAAATATGAGGGAGGGATATTCCTTCTACATCTTTTCTTACCAACAGCGAGGGTATATATGAATGACATGAGTAAGCGAAACCGGAAATGATTTCATCAGGAAACTCCAGTTGTGTTTGCGGAGTCTGAATTGTGCGTTTTCTGAATGAGAAAGAACTTGTGAAAGAGATCGAGAGATAATTAGAAACTGGATCTGAGGGACTGTTCTGGCAGTTTTGTGTTAATCTAACATGACGTCAATGGTGAGGACTTGCAATTAATTATGTGATAAGAAAAAACCCGCGAACTAACAATGACATATACAACTGACATTTATGATGAGAGAATCATCTGAAACTGACTCTCTCTCTCTCTCTCTCTCTCTCTCTCTCACACACACACACACACACACACACACACACACACACACACACACACACACACACACACACACACACACACACACACACACACACACACACACATCAATGAAATGATACTTTTCAGATGTATTTGTTAACCCACAATTATGAATCAGCTGCTTCCAAACAGGATAATGCAGTTGATTTTTAAAATGGAAATAAAAAAGCTAAAGTCATCTGGGTTATTATTACCACCCAGACTAGTTAGAAAACTAGACCCCAATAAAGAAAGTTGAAGAAAGACTCTAAGTGACTTAAAGGTACATTATAGACAATCTTGTCGCCTATCCAAGTTTTAGGAACAACAAATAATAACTTGACTTCTAGTTGATCATTTGGCATCAGAAGTGGCTAATATGAAAGGCAAAGGCCTCTAGATTACGCTTATTTTACCAAAATGAAAAATGATCATGCCTTGTTTTTTAATTAGGACAGTAAGCTCTGACTTTACTAAGACAAGAGTCTTGCCACTTAACAGAAATAATGTACAGTATAGAACATATTTTCATGGTGCAGTGGAAAAATATTTAATATTGTGCATGACCCTCAGCTTGGAGGACTGCATCCGTACATCTCTGCAATGGCTCAAATAACGTATTAATAAAGTCATCTGGAATGGCAAAGAAAGCGTTCTTGCAGGACTTTCAGAGTTCATCAAGATTCTTTGGATTCATCTAAAATGCCTCCTCCTTCATCTTACCCCAGACATGCTCAATAATGTTCATGTCTGGTGACTAGGCTGGCCAATCCTGGAGCACCTTCACCTACTTTGTTCTCAGGAACTTTGATGTGGAGGCTGAAGTAAGAGAAGGAGCGCTATCCTGCTGAAGAATTTACCCTCTCCTGTGGTTTATAATAGGCAGCACAAATTTCTTGATACCTCAGGC